AGGATATTTTTAGAAATATATGAAATTTTTACTTTAATAATTATACTATTATTTACGATGCATTTTGAATGATATATTATTTGCTTGTTTTCCGTTTTTTTTTTGGGGGGGGGGATTAAATAATGATAAGAAAATTTTTTACTATATATATAATTGTATTTATTTATTTATTTTGTTAATTTTGTTAAATTAATTATAATTAAAATAGAAATGATAATGATGGATAAATTGTTAGATATCACATCATGCCCTATATATATGTATATATATAATTATTGAAAAACCATTAATAATTTAAATATTATCTCAATCAGCTCTTACAAGAAATTCGTAAGATCCTGATTCGTGATACATGAATCTTCTTCCCCGTTATCCCATTCTCCGGCCTCTACCTTTTCCCCCTCTCCCCGTTCCTCCTACAATTCATCCCGCATCATTCTTTTTCTCCCCCCTCCACCCCCCCTCTCCCCCCGCTCTTCTTCTTACCATTGTGTAATACTGAATTTGATGATATGAGAAGGACGAATTTACCCATCCATCCATTTGAGTAGGAAAATGGAAAGATACTTTTAATGAATATAAGGAAAGAGGTGGGGAGGGGGGGTTGAAATATTTTAATGATTACTTCGTCTGTTACTCCTCCTTCTACTCCTACTGTTACTGCTGAACTTAATGAATCTTCAACATTTTCATCAGAGTTACTTGAACGGGGCAAATTTGATTCATTCGTTGTTGTTTGGCAAACAACCCTGTTCAAATCGGTCCTATATGAAAACCCGATTTTTATAACTTCAACCCTTCTTTTCATCCCGAATCAGGTCATGTTTACACACTTGCATTTATACATATATATATATATACATATACATATATATATATACATTTACGTACCTTATTCTACCTATTTCTCTATTTCATTTTTTTTTCACTTTTAATTTATTTCTTTTGTCGAAATCATTTTGAAATAGAAGAATGGTACTTACTGATAATAGATAATAATATTTATCAGAAACGATTTTTGCTTCTTCTTCATATGATTGTTAAAATGAGTAAAACAATATATATATATATATATATATATATGTCTATTATCAGTAATATATTATATATCATATTTATATAAAATATCCGGTTTCTATTTTTATTTTTTTCACCTCTAATTTATTTCCTTATCGAAAAATTATTGTTGAAATTGAAAATTGATATTTATTAAATGAATAAATAATATTTACTTATTGATAATACTTACTGATAATATTGATCAGAAACAATTTCGCTTCTTCTTCTTTATCTTCTTAACCTTTACATAAATCTTAAGGTTATGTTATTGATTGTTAAATATATAAAAATATCCGGTTAAAAGTAGGCAAATTATGGTCATGTTGAGAAATTACGGGAGGCGGGGTGAGAAATGAGGTCGATTCAAAGAGTACATATAAAATAGCTCCGCTACCACTAATGATAATATCCTTAACAGTTCACACACATATACATACATACACACCAAAAGCATCAATTTTTTCTTTATCTGTTATATCATCATTTCCGGTAATAGTTTGTTGTATCCGGTAATAGTTCGCTAAATATTTTTTCTTTTTTGATCATTCCGATAATAGTTTGATGTATTCGGTAATAATTCGGTAAGAGTTCGTTGAGTATTTTTTCTTTTGATCATTCCGGTAATAGTTTGTTGCATTTGTTATTAGAATATATTTCCAATGATTTTTCACAGATAACGAAATATTAAAAACAATTTGAAACAAATAATGATATCAAATATATTTTGCTCATTCGGTATTATTCATATTCCTTCATATGAATAATACCGAATGAGCAAATACCGAAATGATACCAAAATCAGATCACCGGAATGATATTTCGGAATTGTTGAATGAGTATTTCGTATATTTTTCATTGTATCTTCGATTGAAATAATGAACCGGAATGATATTTCGGAATTGTTGAATGAATAATTCGTATATTTTTCATTGCATCTTCCGATTGAACTGATAGATAGGATAATAATATTTTTGAGATATATTAATTCCTTTTTTTTTTTAGTTCAATTTTTTTTTCATCAATAATTGATAAGTTTGATTGAAATTTTAACAAATCTTACTTAATCTTATACTGATTTATTTTTCTCTCAACAAAATTTTCCCCTTATCACTTTATCATTTATCATTTCTTCTTTTCAAATTATAACTTTCCCTCTTTTCCATCAATAATCATTTTATAGTTTAAGGCAGCTGGAAAAAAAATGTGAATGTTTAGTAAAAGAGAAAAATGAAAAAGTTGAAGAATTAAATCTTAGGAAATTAAATCTTACATAACAATTTATCAAAAACACATTTCATCATTTTATCATCATTTATTTTCTCTTCCTCTCTCTCTCTCTCTCTCTCTCGCTCTCCTAAAAATGCTGTTACAAAGGAAAAAGATAAGATAAATTGATCTTTTTCTTTGTTCCAATTATTTATGAATAAAATGAAACAAATGTTTTTTAAAAATATCTTTTTAAATTTAAAAAATATTTTTTTTTTTAGAATCTAAAATATTATAAACAAAAAAAAGATGAAATTTCAACAATGTTGAAATTTCATCTTTTTTTCAACAATGCTGAAATTTCATCAAAAAAATAACCTCGTGTATATTTGTCTATTAAATTTTCTTTATACAAAATATTTTTTAGCAAACAATAATTTTGTTAGATATGAAAATGTTTGTTATTTGCTGATATTATAATTTGTATCATTTATCATTTATCACATCTGAATATATTTGAGTGAAATTTTAGAAACTGTTTTATAGAATGATAATAGAAAATAACAATAATATAATGTTTAGCAAATGATTAATTTGTTTATTATTTTCATATTAACAATAATATAATGTTAAACAAGTAATTTGCTCTACCAACAATTTGTTTATTGTTTCATATTAACAATAGTATCATGTTGAACAAATATTTTACTCATTCATTAATCTATTTATTGTTTTCATACAAACAATATTATGCTGAAAAAATAATTACTCAATCATTAATTTGTTTATTATTTTCATATTAACAACAATATTATGTTGAACAAATAATTACTCGTTCTTTAATTTATTTATTGTTTTAATATCAACATTAATATTATTATGTTAAGCAAATAATTTACTCGATCATTAATTTATTTATTGTTTTCACATTCTTTCTTATTTGCTATGCAATTAAAGGATGAAAATGCGAAAAAGAAAAGCTCAGTAAATAATTAACCAAATGAAATTGTTTTATTTGATTAGAATAAAAGATAAAAAGAAGGGAAATGATACAATCCGCTTTTTTTTAAATGTTCAATAATTTTTTCAAAAAATTCTCTCTTTTACCCTTATTTTGTTGTTGTTGTTGTTTACCTTCCATAGTTTTATTTATTTATTTTGTTGTTGTTGTTTACCTTCCATAGTTCTTTTTATTTATTTTGTTGTTGTTGTTGTTTTTCGCTTTTGTTTTTTTTCTTTGTTTTCTGCCGCTCCTTCTTTGTAAAACTTATATTCATCTAATTTTAACACACAATTATGATAATGGTTGATTGTTTTTAATTTAACGAAAATTTAAAATTTTAATCTGTTGATACGAGCAGACATACAGATATCATTCTTTCTTCGTTTCTCTCTCCCCATTTTCTTTCTCTGTCATTCAATTGAAGAAAAGAAAGGATAGGAATTTTTAAATGATAAATAATAATAGATATGATTAGTATAGTAATTATATAATTAAAATATACACTTCGTAGAATTAAAAAAATATAATTAAAAAAAAAGATACTAGAAATGAATTCCTATTATTATTATTTCATTATTAATTAATTAATTATATATTTTTTTTTAAAAAAATGTAAACAATACTAAAATTAGCGTTATCTATCAAAGAAAAAACGATTAATATAAACAAATTTTGGTAGTAATAGTGGTAGTAGTCTGTAGAATTCATCGTAAAAAAATATATAATTTTAAAAAAGTGAATAAAAATGAATTCCAATTATTATTATTTCATTATTAATTAATTAATTAATTAATATCTGTCTTTTCTATATTATCAAGATTTTGTGTATTTATTTTCTTCGTTGTTTTCTTTCTATTTTATAATAGATCAATGGAATTTTTAATGTTATTATAAGATTTCTATTTTTTTAAAAAAAAAGTTCTTATAATTGATTGTGTGTCTGTATGTGTGTGTGTGTGTGTGTGTATGCAATATGTATGTGTACATGTGTATGTGTATATATGTGTGTGGTGTGTTGTATGTAAAGTGTATGTGTATATATATAATGTGTATGTGTATATATGTGTGTGGAGTGTTTGTATATGTAATGTGTATTTGTATATGTGTATGTGTATATATATATATGTAATGTGTATGTGTATGTATGTGTGTGGTGTGTGTATGTAATATGTATGTGTATATATAATGTGTGTGTGTATGTAATATGTATGTGTATATATAATGTGTATGTGTATATATGTGTGTGGTGTGTGTGTGTGTATGTAATGTGTATTTGTATATATATATGTGTATGTATATGCATGTGTATATGTAATGTGTATGGTATATATATATATATATATATATATATGTGTGTGTGTGTATGTAATGTGTATGTTTACATATAAATATGTGTGTGTGTGCATGTAATGCGTATGTTTATATATAAATATGTGTGTGTGTGTGTGTGTGTGTATGTAATATGTTGAATTTGTAAAAAAATTATAAGATGGAAAGTTTTGAAGGATTATGGAAGAGTACAAGAAGAGGACGATGTAAAAAAGGAAGCAAATATATATAAGCAAAGCAAACTGCCAGCAAGCATTTCAATTTTATTTCATTTCATTCACTCAACCAATTTCATTCTTTTCTTTTGCTATTTCATTCATATTTTCAATCACAACCATTTTCTCTAATAATTAATTCTTTTTTCAATTTCCTTTCTTAACTAAAACTTACACTAACAATTTATAATAAATAGTTCAAGTAAAATAGTTATTAATAATAATAGCAATAATTGTAATAATAACATTATTTATAATAAGTAATAATAATAATATTAATAATAATAAATATTAATCATAAATAATAATAATTATTATTATAAATAATATTATAA